TATCAAAACTCGGGTAAAATAAATCACAATTTTGGTTAATTATCTGTAATTACATATCGCCTTGTCTAGTCAGGTGATTCCAATATACTTTACACTAAATGACTTCATTTAGCCATTCACACAGTGATGGTTTCAATCTGCATTGGGCCACCGCTGCCCTAGGACACACTGACGCCTGCTGCTGCACATAGGCTCCATTGGGCCCTCTGATCACCATCAATAGGCAATAGGGATGAAGTGTCTGGGGTTCGAAACAGTGACCGTCAAGTTGCAGGAAGAACTCCTACATCCTACGCCACAGATGCCTCAATGGATCGATAATTAAGATGTAAGATCTGAAACTGCCATAAAGGAAATAAAATCATGGATGCATCCTGCCTGGTATTGATTTATCCCTTCAGGCTGGTGGGAGTTTAACTGTTTGGGTGATGTTATTGTGCACAGGACAAAAAGTTGGGGGATGTTCTGAAGTGGTCTGACCTAGCCATTAGGCACAGCTTAGCAAGGTGTGCCTAATGAAATGGTAGTTTATGTTCCTAAACTTTATCCGAGTTTATTAAACTCAGATAAAGTGCATGAAATTGTTGGCGGGGGCGTTAACAGACCAAAAGAAGTGGGAGCTTTGTTTTTTTTTATTTTAATGAAGTTAATGAAGAGGGGGGAAACCCATAATGCAGTGTTTGGCTTGTTGCTCGTTGATCAAAGCTGGTCAAGGGAATTTTGGCCAACTCTAGTTTCTGACTGCATGCATCTCTACTTACATCCCATCAACAGGAAAAGTCAAGCTGACCAGAAATCCAGTCCTTTTTAACAACAGATAAGGAGCTCTTCCTGCAACATTTGATTGAGCTCCACCAAGGCTGTTTGAAAGCAATTCTGTTTCTAACATGTGAACCTGTATTTTCTACATTAAACTGGCATGACAAACACAACCCTACACAAGGGAAAACATACAAAAATCAATGTCAGAAGTTAAATTACAGGAGAAACTCTTGAATCTGTTTATAGATCCCTTTAAAGGAAGAAAAATCCTGAATAGCTATGATCTTCCTGAGTCTTTGCCTCTAATCAGGACAAATAAGTGGCAGTGTGATTGTGTGTGTAGTGGTGGTGGGGGGGGTTAATAGTGTCTTTGCCATAAACCACAAACATAGCCACACGTTTACCCTCACCATTAATCAAGCTTGGGTAGACTAAACATAATACCCGTATCGCTCTATAAAAAGTGTATTGCTCTTACATCTGTCTGTGTGCATATGTGTAGGATTCCAGCATGACTCTCCCCACACAGTTATTTCTGTTATGCATTTTCCAGTGGGTCATGTCCATAAAATAAGAACCCTAAACGCAAGCATAATGAATCAGACAGCTGCTCCAAACTGGATTTTCCAGTTTGCAGCAATTTCTCTATTGTTATGGTTTTGACCCAACAACCCCTAAAGAACATCTTAGAACTTCTAGATCCCTCCATCAGAATATCTGCAATGCATGCATCTGTTTTAAAAATCTGGGTCATCCACAGTAAAATGCAGAGTTTGACTGCTAGCAGGCGTTATATTGGGCTTAATTGTTCTATATAATTTAGAAACCCTCCATTCACAACAAGGATATTCTAGCTGATTCTAGCTAAACACTGATCTATAATTCTGTGTAAGGGGTAAGCATGGGCTCATCTTTGTGTATGTATGCACACTTGGACTATTTGTTTTCAGGCACAGTTCATGGCAGCTTCGCTCTCTGTTTCCTCCTTTGCCTGAGGAGCTTTGGGAGGAGACATTTCAAACAAACACAGAGACCTCAAACAAGCCTGGAGCCAGCACAGCAGTTCAAACAGGAAAAAAAGGCTGGAAACTGGCCTTCACCGACATGCTTTTCAACAAGGAGAAACACGCGTGCACGCTTTAAACCACATGTTCAACGTCCCTTTAACAGGTGACAGTTTCTGTGACATGTGGCCTGTGTTTGTGTCCAAGCTTGGTTTGGCTAAAGGGAGTGTTGTTGTCAGGAGTTAACAGCATGTCCTCAGTTACTATCCTGATGATGCAGACTTTTCTCCACAGAACGGCACAGATTTTCAACATTGAACCCAATTTTTCTAAATAATACAAAAGTCCAAAATACAGGGAAAAAGCAGAGCCTGGTTGGAGTACCTGTCAAGGTTTTAAAAAGTTACTGTTTTAATAGGAAAATCCCCTGTGCTGTTTCCAAGAGGTGCATTGATCAGTTTTTGTCTCACCAATAGTGATTTTAACTGTATTTTGGGCTCTGATCTGTTCATTAGGATTTTAGCAGATTTGGGTTTGTATTCAAAGTAAAATTTTCAATCTGACAAATTAAAAGATGAACCTCATTGAATCATCCAGGCAATGGTTTCTAAACTTCATCTGATATTTATAAACCCATAAAATTGCATCACAGTTCATACTGTTGTTTGATTAGATTAAATAAGTAAAATTAAAAATGTCTTTAGTTATGCAAAACATTGGCTTCCCTTCCTTCACCTGTTGCTGCACACTTTAACATAGCTAGTCTGGAGACTAAACCAGTGCTTAGACCTAACCTTAATGCTGTTCTGGTACAAATACAGCTACAGGTAACGTGTCTGTTAGGCTGCTGACCCTGTAGCTGTAACCTAATTTAAAATCAAAAATCCCCCGATCATACTCTGTGCATCTATATACAGAGGATATTGTGATAGACACTGTATGTCCTATCCGCTAAGTACTTAAATAATTTCTTTTGTTTAGGTCTATATATCATATGTGTCTATAAATAGATGTGTAATCATTAAATGTTTACACATCAAGGTAAACATTTATGCGACACTGAATACCTAAATGCTGACTAAATTTGCAAAGTTAAAGTAACACTTTAAGAGTTAAATTTAACACCAATCCAAGTGCATTTGGTCCCACTTAGAATTAGTGTTAAATTAACTATCTACATAGTGTATATCTTACTCCAGTTGTTGTTGTAATAACTCTAAAAAAGTCATTGCATATTTAACACTGGGGAATTTACTGTGTGATGTTTTGAAGACAGAAACATGGATCAGTGTTGCTTTCAAACCAGGGAGCCTAAATCTGTTTTATTATATCATGAGATAAGGCACTTAATTTCTGTTAATTTTCCATGTTTTCTTCTGCATATATTAAACTTGCACTGTAGGTTATTTCCAGAGTTGCAAGCAAACCGCTAACCAGGCAGCTGCTTTGAGGCATAGATCTATACCTGAGGGTTTTAAAAAGGACGGCGGTATGATGGCCAACCAGAAAATAAAATCTTCAGTAAAACTTAATGAGTTCTATTGTGCTGTCACCTAAACAGTAGCTAATATGTTTTATCAGAGCATCAAGGATTAGAACATGTTGACAATCTGGCAAAACCTAGAGATTTATTTTTCTTTTCCACTTATTTAAAGTAAGAGAAACTGTATTGGCAGTAACAGTTCCCATCAATGTGTGACCCTTCTGCCATTAAAGAGAGTGATTAACAAATAAATAATGAAATCATGCATACAAGCAAAAGTTTGTATTAAACTAAATATATATTTTTACTTTCATACAGATTCTCTATATATGCCTTTATTTTAAGGAAAGACATTTGCAGGCTATTGGTATCATTATGCCGGTGGTCATCACAGCCTTGGATATCTCTGCACGGCTTGCATGTTTTTTCTTGTGCATGTGTGAATTCTATCTGGGATTTCTAGTTGTCTCCCACAGTAACCAATCCTTACTGTTAACTATAAATCACCTTTAGATACAAGTGTGTGGATTGTTATTTGTCCCGTGTGTCTCTGTTAGACCATGTGATGGTCTGGTAAGCTGTCCAGGATCTTTTGCCCAATGACTGCATGGGATCAGCATCATCTCCAACACCATGTGATGCACCATGGACAAGCTTGTATAGATCAGAGACAGATGGATGGAAGATATTTGTCAATAACTATATTATTTATTATAAACTTTTAAAGCTGCTATATATCAGTAAAGACTGAGTTTCTTTTCTAACATATTCCAACATTTTGTCACCCATCTAGTTCTACTTTGCCTTTGAAGTATATAGATAATTTCATTGTTTAGATTTGGATTATTTCAAGTTATATTCCAGGTAAAATGTTTTTTTTTTTTTTCTTAATACCAGTTTTAGTTCACTCAGACAGATACAAACTTATCTAGTTTAGATTAACAAGCTTTACTTTAGAAATATTCTTTTTGTTTTGTTTTTTTACAAGTTAACTTTATTTAAAAAGAGGAGCTGCAGAGGACAGAGTGGTTGATCTAAGCAGTCTAAATTGAACAGTCTAATCCTGTGAATACGACTTAGAAAGCAATGATTAAAGAGTTAGTTCCTTTGTTTTTTTCACTGTATGGGGGATTTTTTCAGATTAGGAGAAATAAAATGTGGGTCAAACCAACTCTTGATAAAGCTGAACACTTCTAAAATAATATTTGTTTAAAATAATGTAATTTAAGGCAATCTGGCCAGGGGGGTGTAATCATTTTTTAGGGGGGCAATTACCCGCATGACCCTCCTCTTGGTGACGCCCCTGAATTTAACTTGGGAATGTATCTTTTATTTGTTGTTTTATCACCTGTTAATGGAATAAACCACTTAGAAATGGTGTGAATCTGAAAGCCGGTTTAGAAATCAGTCCACTTTTCATTATGTAGATCTCTTTACCTGTGAAGTTGGAACAGGTAAACAGACACACGGAGGTGAAGCTCTCCCCCACCACACCATTGTTCTCACCTCTTCCACCGCTGAAACGGTGTTTTTGCAGTCACTCATCTTGGACTGGAAGCTGGACGTCCCGGGCGAAGACAAATCCTCATTTGTCAGCACCAAAAAATCCGAAATGCTTATTCGCTCCGGCATGTTTCCAGGAAAAAAGGGGCTCCGTGAATTCACCGAGCGAAAAAGTGTGCCAAAATTTTACGCGGGGATGAAATTCCCATTGGAAAAAAAAGTTGTATCTGTTTTCTTCTCTTGCGTGGAAACAGACACACGAGAAAAATAGAAATACTCCTTAGAGAAACCTACTTTATTGGGTCAAATCAACTGAAGGCAGAGCTGAGTCGGACTGAGCGTAAACTTCGCTCAGTGCGTGCGCCCTGAGATCCTCCTGCGCGCTCATGGAGGGAGGGATCTCTGCGGAATCACGTGGGGAAACTTTTTGGCCCACTAGAACGAGAAGTGCAAGGTCCAAAACTCTTCCTTTCAATATATACCTCTCATTTCCATTCACACTCCCCAAAGCTTCAAGAGTGGTCGCCATGGATAAGCAGAAGAACCCCTTCACGATGTGATGAGGAGGAATTTGCATGAATGATATGAGAAAATCTTATAGAAAAGAAAGAAGCGCAGTTTTTCTAAACATTCAGTTTAAGTTACAAAAGAAAACTTTTTTTTTAAATCATTTTCGACCTGCATAAATTTAGTTGCAAATGAGTTTGAATGCAGTGTTGTGGTGAACATGGTTTCTATCTTGGCTAAGATTCTAAAGTTCCTTCTTCATGCCTCGCTCACAAAAGAGAAGCTTTTCATTGAAGGAGGATTAGTGAAGTTCCTCCCCTTCCCTTCTCTGACATTTCCTGAAATATTCAGAAAACACAAAGAGAATAAAAAGGAGTTTGAAAAAAAAAAAAAAAAAAGATTATGGGATACAAGACCAGCATGCCTGTCAGCTCAGATAAGGAGGGGCATGAGTGAAACTGGCATCAGGGGAGCAGTCAAACACCTCAAAGTAAACAAAGATAATTTGAGGAAACTACATGAGTTCTTCAGGTCATAAACATTAAACTGAGAAACTATTTCAGCTGGGGGATAATAAGATGGTTTTTTACTATAATTATCTATGGACAAAAACAACCTTGTTTTGTGATAAAAGTGTTTTATCTGTTCTTGTATCTTCTTAGTAAATGCAAGAAATATTTCATACCCTTGAACCTTTTCACTAAAAATATGGTTTTCAAAGGGCATTATTCATAAAACTCGGATCTTCATGTCTAAAGTCCAACACAAAAAATGATGTTTAGAGTTCACCTAATTCTTTAACAGAATTTACCAGCATCAGAGGCTTAGCCAGAAAATTTTTAACAGGGTGGCCAGGAAATAACAAATGTACACTGAGGGGTGGCCGAAAGTGGATAGGCACCAGAACCTCACGGTTAATCTTCATTGTTCCAACAGGAACATTAACAAGCAAAACATCCATATTTTCTAAATAAAGACAAACTGTACTGTCCTACAGCCTTAGCCAACAAATAGACGCATATATTTAAACAACCCGTAATTTCTAGATAAAAAGTATAGTAGATAAAACTCAGTTTTGAGTTCTGGGGCGTAAATCAATTATCATTGTCATTACTTACCAACTTTTATCAATAAACATTCTGCATTAAATGGATATTTATGAGTACTGATATCTACATAAATTGATTATTTGATATTTTTTTATTTAAATGGTTATTTATCTTTGATTTCACTGAAAAGTCCTCGATGACTTGCAGAGACACGTTTTTCTCTTAACCCCATATAACACAAAATCTAGCTCTGAAAAGAGCATGAATTCTGTACTTATCATCTTTGATGTTAGTATATTGATGTGTATAATTAACCACAAAAAATAAAATGTTTCGAATATTCAAAACATTGAGAGTATTAAGGGCTAGTTATACTTCCCGCAGCAGTGTGTTGCAGTGAGCCTGATGCAGACATTTTTGATTTATGCTCAATTTGCTGTGGGTGTAGATACTCTCCGAGGCGGTGAGGAAGTGGGGCCGAGTTTGTCCGACAACAGAGGGACATGACGGCGAAAAAGAGCGGGGATCCAGGTGGAAAGAGGGTTCCAGGGTTCTCACGCACCTCGCTCTTCTAGCTTCACGAGTCGTTTTCCGCAATTGCGGTCATGAAAACAAAACAAGACAGCCTCCTGTCTGTGGCACTGTCTGCGGTCACCTACAATTTGGGAGAGTTGCAGCAGAGTGTCTGCGGAGGGGGCGGGGACGTCTGTTTGTTCACTGCAACATCTACGCAGACAACCTAGTTTTGAAGTATAAATCAGCCTTTACTGTTGCCACCATTTGTATTAGAGGGGAAAAAATGGTAGGGGTGGCCAGTGATTGACTAAGGGTGGCCATGGCCACCCCTGGCCCCCCATCTAGCTCCACCCCTGACCAGCATGTAATTTACTTCAAAATAAAAGCTTGTTGAAAAATGTATGTAAACTAATATCCGTATGAAAATCAAGGAAGCAGCGTAGCACACATCTCAAGGAGAGTTGTGTTATAAAAAATGTCACGAGTTCTGATCATCTCACAGAAATCATTCCTCTTGACAGGATAGCTATTAACCAGATGCTCTGCTAAGCTAAACTGGAGTGGTTGTGGGGTTTCAATACTTTTACAAGCTTTGTACTCTACAGCCTCAACTAGAGGTGCACTTATCCAGTTTTATCCAATCCAATATGATACCGATACCTGGACTGAGCGTATTGGGTGATATCTGATACCGATCCAATTCAGCTGTTGAGTTAATGAACCATATATCTTGCCATGTGAGTGAAGACTTAAGCCTTCACAAAAATAATTAAAAAACAGGTAACAAATGACACTAACATGAATGCAGATTATATTATCTATTAAAAAAAAACAAAAAACAATTCCTTCAAAAATGCACTGGATTAGATATCTGCTATCAAATATCCAGCTAATTAGTCAATATTGTAGCCGATATCCGATCCAGCTAATTAGTCAATATTATAGCCGATATCCGATCCCGCTAATCAGTCAATATTGTAGCCGATATCCGATCCAGCTAATTAGTCAATATTATAGCCGATATCNAAAAAAAAAAGATTATGGGATACAAGACCAGCATGCCTGTCAGCTCAGATAAGGAGGGGCATGAGTGAAACTGGCATCAGGGGAGCAGTCAAACACCTCAAAGTAAACAAAGATAATTTGAGGAAACTACATGAGTTCTTCAGGTCATAAACATTAAACTGAGAAACTATTTCAGCTGGGGGATAATAAGATGGTTTTTTACTATAATTATCTATGGACAAAAACAACCTTGTTTTGTGATAAAAGTGTTTTATCTGTTCTTGTATCTTCTTAGTAAATGCAAGAAATCTTTCATACCCCTGAACCTTTTCACTAAAAATATGGTCTTCAAAGGGCATTATTCATAAAACTCTGATCTTCATTTCTAATTGCATCACAACAACTTATGTTTAGAGTTCACCTAATTCTTTAACAGAATTGACCAGCATCAGAGTCTTAGCCAGAATTTTTTTATAAGGGTGGCCAGGAAATAACCAATGTACACTGAGGGCTGGCCGAAGTAGATAGGCACCAGAACCTCACAGTTAATCTTCACTGTTCCAACAGGAACAGGAAAATTAACGAGCAAAACATCCATATTTTCTAAATAAAGACAAACTATACTATCCTACAGCCTTTGCTAACAAATACATGCATATATTTAAACATCCGTAAAAAGGATAGCTATTAACTAGATGCTCTGCTAAGCTAAACTGGAGTTCATGGTTGTGAAGAGAACAATGTGGAAACAATAATTGGGTTTCAATACTTTTACAAGCTTTGTACTCTACAGCCTTATCTAGAGGTGCACTGATCTACTGTAGTTTTATCTAATCCAATCTGATACCGATACCTGGACTGAGTGTATTGGCTGATATCTGATACCGATCCAATTCAGCTGTTGAATTAATGAACTATATATCTTAACAATTAAAAAACAGGTAACAAAATGACACAAACATGAATGCAGTTTATATTATCTATTAAAAAAGAAAAAAAAAACAATTCCTTTGAAAATGCACTGGATTAGATATCTGCTATCAAATATCAAATCTCTGAAATCCGATCCAGCTAATTAGTAAATATTGTAGCCGATATCCGATCCAGCTAATTAGTCAAAATTGGAACTGATATCCGATCCAGCTAATTAGTCAATATTGGAACTGATATCCGATCCAGCTAATTAGTCAAAATTGGAACTGATATCTGATCCAGCTAATTAGTAAATATTGTAGCCGATATCCGATCCAGCTAATTAGTCAATATTGGAGCCGATATCCGATCCAGCTAATTAGTCAAAATTGGAACTGATATCTGATCCAGCTAATTAGTCGATATTGTAGCCGATATTTGATCCAACTAATTAGTCAATATTGGAATTGAAATTCGATCCAGATAATTAGTCAGTTTTGAAGCCAATATCCCATCCAGGTATCGGATTAGTGTATCTTTAGCTTCAGCTGTGTCATCATTATGTGAATCTGTTCATGTTGATCAACATGATTAGTTTGGTTTAAAAAAAGACTTCGCAATTTGCAATTATTTCATGTCCTATGCAGTTGCATCATTACAAAATTGTAAGAGTGCAGCAGCTTTTTAACATTGTATGTCAGCAAACAAGCAGCCATTCCTGCCCCAATCCAGGTAGATCACTTTAACAAGGTCTATAAAGTAAAAGCTGTAAAATTTTCCCCTCAACCTCTTTATCATTATAAAAGAACTCACTCTGATATGAAAGTAAGGGCATGCAATAAACAGCAGCCTATGTAGATCAGCTGACCCACTTTGTTGCCTATTCGTTTGTTTAAATATTCATTGAGGCGAAGGGAAAGACAAATGGATGAGTTACATGCAAGCACTTTGCACTGATGCACATATTCTCACCATGATGTGTGCGATAAATATTTGTGCCTACATTTCCATTAATGCATGCACACATGCAGGGACTCGCAGCTCCCCAACAAAACGCTCCTTCATCTCTATGGTGGCCCTGTGTGAAAAAGCCATGTCTTTGTGTGTTTGCCAGCTTTTCAGCCTGAAGCTCATTGTGAAGTTGTGCAAATGGGTCTGCCCAGGCTGTGAATGATGTAAATCCATGAATTTAGAGACATGGTTGAAAGTGACAATCTCAGCAAAAAAAAAGAAACTATATTTCAACAAGAAAGAAGGATTTGGGAGGGGAAGGTGCATCATGTGACGAAAAGGTGGAGTAAGCAAATAAAAGAGTTGAAAACAAGCTGCTTTGCCTGTGTTCATAAACTCAAGTGACTCTGATGATTTTCCTACTTGCCTCCACCCCTTTCCT